TCTTAAAGATATTGAGATTTTATAAGCCTACTAAATCATATATAACTGTCACTTTAAGAAGAGATATATAACCGAAGAAACAAATGCGTCAAGTCTATGTCTGAAGCTACGTTCTCCTGCCGCGAACAGTATTTAACCTCTTGGGGGAAGGCAATATGTAAATGCGCCACCCCTAGCGAAGGTTGTGATGCAATGATTCTTGGTTCTCTGATGAAAGGGTTTCAATCTCTCGGTATCGCCAAGGATTTTGACCAGTTCACTCTGAAGAGCATCAAACAAATGTCTGAAGGAATCGAAAAGCTCAGGATTGAATTCATTCCGCCTATATCTAAAGATCCCTACTACTCGCGGTCTGGGCACAAAGATAAATGTGACCCTATCCCTCGCCTTAAGGCCGAAATTAACGCAATCGTCGGCCAGATAAAAGGACTCGACTTGATATCTTATAAACCCAAAAAAACCAAAGCCGCAGCCGCGGGGTGGAATATTTTCACATATATATAGTCAATAGGTACAGCCTGTCTAATTGATTTTTTTACTGATGCGGTTCTAATATTTCACGATAAGTGTGAGACAGGCTATCTTAGGATATTATTCCCACTGGGCGGCAAGGCGGGTTGACCACTTCATAAAACATGCTAAACTGCCCTTCACTGTTTCGTTTGGGTTTGGAATACACTCGAGAGTTCAAATTAAGTACGTACCCCTGATGACGTAACGAAACGAAATAATGTACTTTGCTGGATTAAACTAGTCATAAGTCCTTTATTATTAATGCACAACTTCACAAGCCCGCATTACCCCCTAAAGTCCGTGTTTCTTCCCCCCCCAAATTCATATTCTTTCAAATTAGCCCAAAGAGCGGTTTTAATTAGCCTGAGGTGAGGAGTTCAGGTTCAGCTGAGGAGAACGAACTCATGTTGCACTAGCCGGTAGAACATCAAAAATGGTGTCAAATCATAAATAAGGATTTGTTTTAATTACGCTTTAACTTGTAGAAAGGGACAGTATCAGTCTCTAAATCCATGGAAGGGAGATGTACGTACGTGACCGCGCTTTCATACTAGTTAAAATCAAAAGATCATCTATATGTATTTAGTAGCCTTAAGGGATAGGACTACATGTAGCGCTAGCATACTAGTCTTGAGTCATGATATATCACTCGGTCTATCGTTCTCTGCCCAACTACATATAGCCACATATATTATGTAATGTAACCACTATTTGATTCCATTCTTTCGCATCACTCACGGGTTCCGAATAGTTAGGAGCTAGTCTTAAAAGTTAACCAACCCAAATCACATTCATGACCAGACTAACTCACCGCCAGTGGCCAAGCAAGATCGTTGAGCTCTTACTGTTTGTGAGTGGCCGAGCTCCCATCCACAGATGGACAGTCAACCTACACCTTCTAGCTACGCCCTATACTTCGAAACCAGCCCGAGAACCTTAATCTCGTGAATAACTACCAGCTATCCAAGTCCAAAAAGACAGAAAAACAATAGGCTGCCCTGGACATAATTTAAATGTGAGTCTAGTGGCCTGAGTTAGTTGCGGCCTCAAGCTGAGTAACTTAATTCTGGCCTATAAGCTCAAAAACAAAGCCTCGTGGGTGGGTATTCCGTTTGCCCACAATGCTGGTGAGTTGACATGATGAGATTGTCAGAAGGTGAATCGCCCGGCCAGACTGTGCATGGTTTTTGAAGCATCAGTATAGGTGCAGGTTATGAACACGTCGCTACATAGACCTTATCTAGAACCTCGTGTATTCTTCTACGGATCTCAAACTTACACCACTAACACGGCTGGGTGATATGGGCTCTTTTTTTGAGCAACTGCTTCCTCTTAGGCACGTTGTAGATCCGGCGAAGAAGGGGATATAAGGTGATACTACAGGGTGATTATATGCTAGATCATTAATCCCTCCCCAAGGATAGCAGTATCGGCAAGCTTTTTCCTCACACCATATTATCATTTGCAGCTCTAAGAATGCAGTTTTTAACCCAGTAAACCTTGCTCAATAACGCTATCGCTATCTATTATACACATCGTAAGCTCTACATCTCTACTCTCCCCTCCTCCCTTTACAAGGACATCCTCGATCTAAATTAATAGATCCCAGGAATGATCCTATACTTCACAATCTCCGTATACCTCTTCCAGTCCTCGCCATACTTCGCCTTACACTTCGCCTCGTCCCTCCTCTCCCTGTGCACCAGCAGCACCGCAAAATACGCCACATAAAAGTATGTGATCGGGGTGCCAAATCCCGTCGGCAGACACCACGCCCACGCCATGATCCAGTCCCCAAGGTAGTTGATGTGCCTCGAGACACCCCACCAGCCCGAAACCATCAACTTCGAGCCCGACTTTGTCTCGATATACTTGATATCCTTCACCTTGGGATCTTTCGGGTTCGTTCGGAAGCTGTTTTTCGTGCTGTTCGCGTTGCGGAAGATGTAGTAGCCCGCACCCTGCACCGCCAGGACCCCGGTAAGACCTAGGTACCCCAGGTCGACAGGGTGGCTGGCGAGATATCTTGCCTGCAGACAGTAGGTGAGTGGCAGCCAGCACAGGTCGCCGAATGCCAGCATGAACCCGAATCCATCGGTGGTGATATCCATCGTTGTCAGGACGGCGGGCTCGTTGTAGAGCGCGTCAAAGACGTACCAGAACTGGAAGACGTTGACGAGGACTATCGAGTCGGACACGTACCCGTGGGTGTTGTATTGGTGGGCGAGGAAGGCAAAGTTGAGGATTGGCCACATGATCATTCCGGGGCGGAGCTCGCAGAAGGACTTGAGGTCGAGGTTGTGGATGCGCGGGTTGAGGGGCCGCCCGATGAACCAGTCGTAGAGGATGTTGCCGGTGTTTGTGGCGAGGAGCTCGCCGGTGAAGAAGGAGGAGGTGTAGCAGTAGACAGACATGGTGAGCGCGAAGAGGAGTGTGCCGGTGATGAGTTGGAGGAAGTTGTCCCAGATGAAGGCCCATAGCCACCAGTTGAAGCCTTCCATGTACGTCATGGCACCGCAGTAGCTGAGGACCAGCATGAAGGATTCGAAACCTACGGGCGGTCAGTTGGCTAAAGGTCTCTAATTGGGCCCGGGGGTTATGCAAAATTACCATTAAGTTTGTACTTCAACCTCGTGCCGTCCTTCAACACAGTCCCCAGCACGGTCTTCCCGGGAAGAATGTACTGCAGCGCGACAAGACCGAACCAGTATGCAACGTAATAGGCTGTCACTTTGGACGAGAAAATCCCTGACCAGCCCGGCCATACCTCAGTCTTGAAGTGGCCGATGGGGTCCGAAAGGAGGGCAGGATTGGGGCATCCACCCTCATTGCACGCAAAGTAGAGCGCATATGTGACGAACGGTGTTCCGAGTGTTACCCCCAAGGCTCCTATACTATCCGGGTGTTAGAAAAAGAAGCTCAATTGCTGTGAACAGCTTAAGGGGGTCGCGTTTTCTTACGGGCCACCGAACTCGTACTCGAGTCCGTCAATCGCCATTGTTGCTTCTACAGATGCTGTTGTGAGGTGATAGAGACGAAGAGACACCCAATTGACTCGACTTGACGTGAGACGAAAGAAAGTGTTGTGGTGGTGAAGTGGACAGAATACGTTATCTGGGGTCGATTGTTGAACTTATATCCCTGGGCCCCCCTGGCTGGCGCGTGCCCCAGTCCGGATAAGTGAATAAACTGCAGCCAGGGAAAAGACCCGCGATTGGTCGGGTTAGCTAGACAACACTTGGCGCGGCTGTCCCTGAGATGTTTCACCCCTTCCAGAAGAACGCAGATCGTCGAAATGGCCTTATGTTCGGCCGCGAAGCTTCCGGGGGAGCTAGGTGGGCGCGCTAGAATCCTTTGGGAACAATATTGGATTCGAGATTCGAGAAACCCATACTCTAGTCAATACCATCCATACCCCCTCCTCCGGCCCTCCCCTCTTTTCTCTTGCATACGTACCGCAGCCAGGGGTTTTTGTTTTTTGTTTTCCCACCGCTTCGGCACTTGGCCCGTGCATTTACGGGAGGTGATGTCGACATAAGCTTGAAAAGACATACGGATTGACGAGTACGAATGCGAGACTCTCTCGGATAAGTGGTCTTCCGTGGATGGTATGATACATCCCTCATAGAAGACTGGGCGATGAATAATGCCAAAGAAGCAAGCAGATGAGTTCTTGGTGCATCCAGAACGAGAACGAGAACGAGAACGGGTTCTAGTTAATTCAAACCCAGAAACAAGACAAGCTATGCACGCCCTGGGTGTAAAGATATGGGTGCGCGTACAGCTTCCTTATGCAGCATGCACTTATGGACTGTTATTGGGTAATATGACAGGAGGGGTGGGACTACATAGCCTATGTTGTTGTTGCTGCTCGGGCAGGCGAGTGACTTTTCATGATACGCGGAGCAGTGTGGGTAACAAGTATTGCGGGCTTGCCAGTGGCAATCAGTTGGATTTAAATTGACAGCAGCAAACAAGCACTATCATCGCGGTACTTGGTCAGCGTAGGATCGAACGACAGCCGGTGTATTGTGGAGATGGCCATTTTATGTGCCGCTTGGTTTCGATATACCTAGCGCTCAGGTGCCCGGACGAGAAGTGCCTTTTACTTTGTGGGCGGTGAATATTGGCACAGTTTATAGACGAACGACAATCTGGATAGCAGCATACAGCACTGACTATCCCAATCACCAGAGGCTGCTATTTAGAGCCAGGACGAAAAAAAGGAACAAGAAAAGGAAAACCGATGACCAGAACAACAACACGCATGTTCAATTTTCAGAGCTACTAGCTAAGTGACAATGTTTGCCTCAGCAGGGTCAATGATATCTATCCACAGTTTCTAAGCTATGTATCCGAGCAACTCCGCAAGCACCAATAACAAGAAGAAAGAAAAAGACTAAATCAACAACTTTTTTCCGAGTGATCGCATATGATTTATTTTACAAAGCGCCTCCATCCCGCGCCAGCCTAACTGCCTACCACGCCTACGGATCCCCCGCATCAACCATATCCTCCACCGCCTCCACCGCACCACCGCCCCGTCCTCTCCCCCTGCCACCCCTACCCCTCCCTCTCCCCCCTCTCCCCTTCCCCCTCGGCGCCGGCCTCCCCCTCAACGCCTCCGGCAACTCCCTCACCACCCTCCCCCCCTCCCACAACACCCCCAACTCCCCCCTGCGATCCACAACCTTCACCACAAACCTCAGATCCAAAAACCCCCCCTCATCCCCCTCCGTCAACACCACCCCATTAGCGCTCATCCAAAACGCAAGCCCGCCCTCCGCCGCCGCGCGCACAACATCAACATACACAAGCACCTCAGCGTCCGCGCGCATCCCCGAGATGACCCCCGTCTCGGCGGCCGCAAGGTGGATGTGGTTTCGCCCCATGCGCGAGAGATGCCCCGACGCCACGATCGCCTCGTAGGCGCCGTAGAAGGTGCCGTGCACGGCGACCGGCAGCGTGGCGGGGTCTAGCGGCGTGAGCTGCAGCGACTCGGAGGAGAGACTGATGGAGTGGCCCTGGTTGGCGCGGATCAGGTATTGGGAGGGGTCGGCTGCTGCGGCGTCGGTGGCTGCTGCGGATGATGGGGCTTCGGTGACGGTTAGGTCTGCGATTCCTGCTGCGGCGGCGGCTTCACTGCCTTCGGCGGCGGCGGCGGGAGCGTTGGAGGGCACCACGGTAGACGCGAGAACGAGCGTGTACCGCTGCTTGTCATTGTCCTTCACGATCTGCTGCAGCCGCAGGAACGTGAGGCCCAGTTTCTTGAATTTCGGCATCGCGAGCTATTCACACATCCACACCCGTCAGTCCTTCCTTCTTTCCTTCCGTTCCCTTCTCTGTGCTCGCAACTCACCAGTTCCGCGGCATTGGCATACCCATCGCTACGCAGCTTCAGCCCCTCCTTCTCGGCGGCGTGGCGGAGCGTGAGACTAAGCGCCTTTGAGATTGCGCGGTCCTCGTTGTTACCGCCGCCGCCGCCGCCTCCTCCTCCACGGCTGCCTCCACGACCTCCACGGCCTCCGCGACCGCCGCGGCCGCGGGTGGGGGCTTGTGCTGGTGGGGTTTCAGACATTGGTTGTGCTGGTGTTGTTGCGGATCGCTGTGCGGTTGACGATGGTCCTTGCGAGGTTGTGGTATGTGGTGCGGGGTGCGGGGTGCGGGGTGCTGCTGCTCCGAGTGGCAGATGATATGCTGCCCTCATGTATGGTGGGGTGGATTGCAGGATGACTCGCAGCTGTGAATTGTGGTTGTTGCGACTCACCCACCACCACCCGCGCACGGGCTCAGATCGTGTAACCGGGCGATCTACGCCTGGCGACAGATGGCTACAGATAGCTAGCTAGCTACATGTATGTAAGTACATAATGTGCATACAGCCAACTGCGACTGGTGCTCTGCAGCGCGGTTTGGGACCGCACAGTAAGCATCAGGGACTCGCTATTGGCCTTGGGCGGGGCAGCAGCAGCAGCAGCAGCAGGCCATTCGGGTGTCTTGCCAATGGCCCCCCCAGGGGCTCTCACATAAAACACTCAGAGAGAACCCCCCCACACAGCGGGGGACACCACCCAGCACTGCGGTCAGCATACTTGCTTTATCTAACTGGGCCAGAATCGTCGATTCCTCGATGAGACCTGGCGCGTGATACATGAACAGTAAATACATAGCACAATGGCTCAATGGCTCAATGTCGCGGCATTCGTTCTTCGGGGGTCACAGAATATTCAAACAGAACCACGATCCATGCTGTGGTGTATCAGGTATAAAAATTCACAAATGATGTGTTCACAATAACATAATTCCATTCCTGCCCTTCAACGCTCTAGAACCATGAAAAAGAAAAAAGACGTTTCGACATTCCCACTTTTGTCTACTGAGTATATCCATATTTTTTTTGTACCTTTTTTTCTTCAGTTTTAATTTAAAGAGTAACCTCCACTCTGCCCTCGTTTCCGGGGGCGTTTCCTTGGAGGTTGGGGAGCAGGTAGGTAATGTCATCCCAAGGATGCCTGTAGAGGCCGGTCCTGAGTCTCTTCTGGTCAAGGTAATGGGCAATCAAACCAATGGAACGTCCGAGGACAAAGAGACCGTTGAGAACACCCATCTGTAATTGTGTTAGTAGGCTTCTAGCGGACATGTATAAAGTGGGTGACTCACTCTCAGGTAGTCTTCGGCCTCCTCTGCGGAGAAGGCACCGCAGTTTCTGATGAGATCAACGAAGCAGACGGCGACACATCCGTCGACGTTGAGAATCAAGTTGTCCTTCTTGCTTGTGGTGACGGACTCGACGGCAAGGGCGTAGTCCAAGAGCTTGTGTGATGGGAATCGCTTCAAGACGAATTCCTTAACAAGCTCCACACGGAGATCGGGGTTGTTTCGGGACTTGACCTTGTGACCGATACCAGGAACTTCAAACTAATTAGCACTATACACCATACAGCACTAGAAATAAGACTTACTGAGCTTGTTCTGCTTCCTCATGGTGTCAACAAAGTCTCTGGGGCTCAGGCCCTTGTCGAAAGCGCCGGTGAACTCAGCGGCAGCTCCATCAAGAGCACCACCGAACCTCTCTCCAATGGTCAACAGACCAGAGACCAAAGCGGAGATCAAGTCCTTTCCAGCTCTGGTAGTAATGATGGTGTTCATGGCACCAGAGACGGCAGGACCGTGATCAGCTGTCAACATCAAAACCATCTCCAAGAACTTGGAAGCATAGTCTGGCAGACGGCGACGGAACCACAGCAGAGACATAACACCTCCGATACCAATCTCCTCCCTGAAGACATCTGAGATGGGCATACCAGCGTACAAGAGCTCCTGACCACGGTCGTCGGAGATGGTGGAGATGAAGGCAGCTGGCTTACGAACAAGACCAAGCTCCTGGGCCCATGAGTAATCGATGGGGATCTTTGGTGGGATCGGCTCTGGCTGGGGAACAATGGTTCCAGCAGCGACGAGTCCCTGGTAAACCTCCCTCAAAGTCTGAGGGAAGTCTTCGAAAGTCTCGGGAACATGGAAACCAGCTTCACGCATAGCAGCGTTCTTGCTGGCAGCTGTCTCGAGCTGTGAGTTGGCAAACGAACCGGCATGTCCGAACTGCACCTCAGTCTTGAACATAGAGGCACAGGTTCCAATAGCCCAGGCAACGATAGGCTTAGTGATGGCACCGGTCTTGACAGCTTCGATAACACGGTACTCTTCTACACCTCCGACCTCACCAAGAAGAACAAGGATTTTGCACTGAGGATCGGCTTCATATCTAAACTACTTGTCAGTAACAGATCCAGATTCAGATCAGCAATAAGAGCTTACCTCAACAAGTGCTCAATGAAAGTGGTTCCTGGGTATCTATCTCCTCCAATGGCAACACCCTCGTAGACACCGTTTGTGGTTGTAGAAATAATATTGTTCAGCTCGTTGGACATACCACCAGACTTGGAGACGTATCCAACAGACCCGGGGCGGTAGAGCTTAGATGCGACAATGTTGTCCATCATACCACCAGTGTTACCAATCTTGAATGAACCGGGCTTGATACCACCAACGGTTGCAGGTCCAATGATAGTAATCCCCTTTTGCTGGGCAATGTGCATAATCTCACGGGCACGTCTCTCCGGAACACCCTCAGCAATGATGGCAATGGTCTTGATTTGCGGCTTCGCCATCAATTCCAAGGTGGAGCTGTACACTGAACGAGAACTGGCAAAGTTCACGACCTATTCATATTAGACAATATGTACGAGGGTTTCTGCTTCTCCGGGAAACCTTACAGTGTCAACTTCGGGGTGCTTCTCACAAGCCTTGTCCACGGCCTGGTAGACGGGGAGAAGGGTCTCAGAAGTTCCCCAGTACATCTTTGAAACGAATTGTCCTCCAAATGGGTAGATGATACCAGCTACACTGGGGGTTGAACGCTTGCCTATCGAGTGAAACAGTGTAAGAATATTTCTCCATCAACTGCAGCGCTGAAAATGATAGAAAACCATCTCAATTCATCATGTGCACTAAGCTATTCATCAAGGTTAGGACACCTACAAATAAAGTCGAAATCCAGCATTCCCTGGCATGCTTTGGGCTGCAGTCCATAGACAAAAGCACGAGTTTTGGGGTGGAAAAGAGTGTGCTCTGCTTGGGGAGATCTCGGACGGGAGGGAGCGGTGAAACGGCGAATGTTGTCATTTGCAGAGGCTTGCTTGCCATCAGCAGAGGGGGGAGCGAGAGTTGCAGCAGACATCTCGAAAGCTCAAATCTTAAGATTGGAAGGGTCAGCAAAATCAATGGCGAAGGTTGAAGAGATGAATTGAAGCTTGGTGTAGATAATGGATGGAATTGAAAAAGAGCAAGCAATGGTGAGAAATAGGAGTGAGGTGGGGGGAATAGCAAGGTCAATCTAGCGCGCAATTGCAACCAGAAAGAACACCCAATGCAAGTACAACAATGCACTGCATACACACACACTCTTCTTTACTCCTCGAGCTTTCCAGCTGAACCCCTCACTTGGTCTCATGCAAGTCCGACACCTCACAGAAAACTCAAACGGGGAAGCGGGGAGATTCTCAACTTACCAATTCAATTCGTTTTAACAAGTCAAAGAAGGAGGTGGGAATGATGGGGTGGTGTGAAGAATTAGATAGTAGACTGGTTGTAGCCTCGAAGTCAGTGAAGGTGCGGGGAGGAAGTGGATGGGGTTTTGAATGCCAGAACTCACAAGATGTATGCCAGGACAACGAGGTGGAGAAAGACGAGGGGCGAGATGAGAAGAAGAGTAGGATGGAGAATGGAGTGAATGGAAAGAACGGAGAAATAGGAACGAGGTCGGGGACGTGAAGGAGTCTTTCTTCTTTTTTCGGCTGTTGAATCCAAGCCCAGATCGTTGGGGACATTGGACCCGGAGCGTCTGGCCCGTTGGTCGCGAACCTGGACCTGCAAGGCATGCGCTACATTCCAAAAATCACTGTGTTCTGTTGGGACCCGTAAAACACCCTGAGCCAAACGACGAATAACTCGTTTTGGTGATAACGCGGGGGTTCTATCGTGGCGTAGGTGTGGCTTTAACGCACTAGGATGTCGATCCTAGCCCAAAATAGCTATAGTGGGGTAGCAGGGTCCGAGGTGGGCTAATAGTGGGCTTACTCGGGGTTGGTACACCAGACCCATATGAGCATAAGTTTACCCCGAAATGGGAACATACCGAGACCCAGCTTAATTATCTGACCAAAGTAGGGGGATAGTTTCCCTGTCCCCAACTTGTTCAATTTGGGGGGCCGCGAAAAAAAAACTCGAAGCCCAACGAATTGAATCGGCGTAACTGCAGTTTGCTGTCTCTGCAGCTCTCAACCGAAGTCCCGTATTTCTCCCAGGGTAGGCTGTTGCTTCACACCCCTCCCGTTTTCTCAAAGACTCAAGACCAGCCCGCCAACCCCACACCTCTCCTGAACTTCATCAATTGACCTGTTTCCTCCTCCTCTTCTTCCCCCTCTTCAATCTCCAATTCAATTCCATCACCTCCATTTCCATCTCCATCTCCATCTCCATCTTTCTCTTTCCCGTTGCTTTTGACATTTTATCCACCACTTCACAATGTCTGCTAAATCCATCCACGAGGCCGACGGGAAGGCCATCCTCAACTACCACCTCACCCGTTCTGCTGTCATTGCTCCATCAACTCTCCCTCCTCCCCCTCACAATGCTCCACCAAAGCTTGCTTCTCTGTTCTTTGGTGAGGGATCATCCCCCTCCGCTGTCTGCGATGCCGCCGAGCAGCAGTACCCATGGCTTCTTGAGCAGGGTGCCAAATTCGTCGCGAAGCCAGATCAGCTTATCAAGAGACGTGGAAAGGCCGGATTGTTGACTTTGAACAAGACTTGGGCTGAGGCACGTGCTTGGATTGAGGAGAAGGCCGGGAAAGAGGTTCAGGTCGAGACTGTCAAGGGCTACCTAAGGACATTCTTGGTTGAGCCATTCTGCCCACACAAGTCTGAAGAGGAATACTACATCAACATTCACTCAGTTAGAGAGGTTAGTTTTTAGTTCTCCCCTTGTTCCGTTATTCCTACAACCAAGCACCGTCCTTTC